GATGGGGGTTTTACTTACTAGAAGGGTGTAGACTTTCCAATTTCCCGGGGGGGGGGGCTGGGGCTGGGCCAGAGGCATTGCTGTGCTAGGAGCAAGGGTGGCTCCCAGGGGAGGCTGAGCACTTTCCTGAAAATTTCGGCGGGGGCTGAAGCCCCGCCGCCCCCACGAAGATTACGCCTATGCGTAGTAAGGCCAATATATTCCTAATTTGCTCAAAAGCACCACTTCCTGTATCAAGTGACTGCTGGAAACAGGTCTCTGGACTGAAACCACCAATTTTTGGCTTACCAGTTCCCCCAACAGAGAACACAGATAGGGGAAGTGGTCCCTGTGACATTCAGACATGAACTGTTTATTCTTCTCAATCCCCACACATGGGGTTAAGCTTGCCAGCTGTGAAGATTTTTTTTGGGGGGGTGGAGACTGAGGAAGGTGGGGTTTGGGTAGGGGAGGGACATCAATGGGATACAATGATCCCCCATCCAAAGATGCCATTTTCTTCAGGTGAACTGATTTCTGGTGCCTGGAGATCATTTGTAATCCCAGGAGGTCACCACCTGAAAGTAGGCAACCCTACATGGGGTACCAGCTTTGATTGGGACTATGGTGTGCATGGAGAAGGGGCTTCGCCTCCCCCAATTTATCCTCAAAGTGAAATGATCTGTGCGGGGGGGGGAGGATACTCTAATGGATGGCTGAATCCAAAGACACTCTTCCTGACATAACAGTGCTTCTTTGGTGGAGGAGGAGGGGCTATATCATCCAGCTGCAGAGTCTTACTTTACTTCCTGATGCATTTATGAGGCACTCAGCTGGAGTGGGAAGAGTGAAATAGACCTTACTGTGAGCTTCATTGTGTTCTTCATATTTTGGATCCAATCTTGTAGAAACATTAAAGCAACGGAAGCACCTAGTCTGGACAGGGAATCTATAGAAAAAAAGACCACTTGGTCTGGCGCGTTATATGGGGAAATGAGCTACTTATGGGTTTAAGACCATAATGTTCTAGGGCAATAACTTCAGCTGATAAATACAAAAAAGGGACACACAGAGACAACTACAGCTTTTGGAAGGGAAACAATAAAAAGCTTGCTTGTGTGTGTGTATGTGCACATGCATGTGTAAAGTGTCATCATGTTGCACCAGACTCATGGTGAACCCATAGGGTTTTTAAGGCAAATGAGATGCGGAGGTGGTTTTCCATTGCCTTCCTCTGCAAACTCTTCCTTGGTTGTCTCCCATCCAAGTACCGAGACTTTTTAGCATCCAAGATTGGGCTGTACTATACCATTCCACATCCCCCCAACCCCAAGAGCTTGCTTAACTGAAATAAAATAATGAGGGACTCTTAAAAGGCACTTTGGCTTGTTTGTTTCCAAAGATGGGGAGAATGAATTACTGACACAAAGCTTGTTTTAAGTTGACCTGTGTTCTGTGAAAATGTACATTTAAATGGTAATTAAAAAACACAACAAAGCACAAAAAATGGATAGTGAGCTTCTTAGAGTAACCATTCAGTGCTAGCCCTCTCTTTCAGCCTTCAGGTTTTAGACATCATTGGCTTTGCAAGAGTGTGTTTCAAGAGCTCTGGTTTCCAGGCAACAAACACACACAAAGATACATACTTACTTTTCAGGAGTAAGATACTCATCATCTACAGCATCTGAAAACACAATGTTTTATTTATTAATTAGAAGATTTATATTCTGTCATTCTATTTAAAAATAAATGTTGTAATATACACTGGAAAAGTAGAATTTGGCAGTGAAGTGCTTATTTGTTCATCCTGGACAGAATTCCAAAAGACAAATATTGCAAACCATATTAACAAGTGGTTAACAAGAGTGCAAAGACTCAAACAGAAAGAAAAATACTATTATTCTCTGTATACTCCCCCCCCCGACTCTGGAGGCCAGGTCTACCACCCACAGAAAATAACATCCCTTTAGAGTTTAAAGGCCTTGCCCTGTAGAGGCAGCAGGAGTGGAGCGGGTAGGAGAGAAAGCCTGCCCCAGAACCCAGCTGGTCTGTGGGACATTGCGTAGAGCAGGGATGGCCAAACTTGCTTAACGTAAGAGCCACGTAAGAATAAACATCAGATGTTTGAGAGCCACAAGACATGAAAAAATATTACCTGTTTTTATTGAAAAATATGCAAATTTGCATTTTATTAACATTAAACGAGACTGCTAAAAATAAAAAGGGGTAAAAATAGATACTGATTATCTAAAATTTATTTGTCCAGTGATATTTATTTGTTTGCTGATGATATTTATTTTTCTAAGAGAGAGAGAGGTGGCAAGAAAGAGAGAGACAGAAACAGAAAGCAAATAGATGGGGCAGGGAGGGAGAGGTGGAAAGAAAGCAACGCAAGCCCCCAAGACAGGTGGCTTGGCTTGGAGAAGGGATTTAAAGAGACAGATGCCTTCTCCAAGCCAGCTGGCGGCGGGGCGGGGGGGGGGGGGGGGGGGTTGAGAACACATTTAAAGTTGCTTTCTTTCTCTGCTTCCCCCCCCCACCTCAAGCCTACCCAGGAAGAGGAAGACCGATTGGGAAGGCATGCCTCCCCTTCGCTTCCCCAGCCACCCTTTCTGGGAGCCACACAATATGTGTGAAAGAGCCGCATGTGGCTCCCGAGCTGCAGTTTGGCCACCCCTGGTGTAGAGGATGCTGTCATATGATGGGATTGACATGGGGACTGATTTGGGGAACAAAGGGGTAGGAGGAAGGCAATCTCAGGTTCAGTAATCATGGGTCCTGCCCAATTACAGCCAAGCCAGAATGGTGACTGCTGGCCTTTGTGAACAAAATGTACGTGCAGTATAATGTTCTACTGCCCCCAGAAGCACGGACACTTCCATGTCCATTTCTTAATTTTCTACACACCTAGAGACTGTTAGATATAGGACTATCCATAGTCCTACATGACTGTTAGATATAGTCTAACATAAAGACAGTCTGTATGCTTCTACCAGTGGTATAGCAGCTCCAAGGAGCCATTTGTGGTTAGAATAGGAGGAAGGGATTAACTTCATCTCTCCCAAGATATGGACTGCCCCCCACTTGCTAGTTAATTTAAAAAAAAACCTTGGAACTCCATTCACAGATCTCTCAGAGGTTCATATAGTTACACAGGATTGCCCAAAACCATGTGGTAGCTAGAGATCTCCTGGGATTACAACTGATCTCCAGGCTATAGAGATCAGCTCGCCTGGAGAAAATGGCTGCTTTGGAAGGTGGGCTCTATGGCATTATACCCCATTGAAGTCCCTCCCCAAACTCCACCCCCCAAATTTCCAGGGATTTCCCAACCCAGAGCTGGCAATCCTACAGTTACAGGAACTCAATGACACTTAACTGGATTTTGAACAAGTGTTTTCAAGGAAAAGTACAAAAATAATTTGGTAGGTGAAGTGAGACATTTTGATATCTGGTTCAGTGAATTCAAATGAAGTAGCTGAAAGAGACAGTTATTTTAGATTGCTGTTGCTGCATTATTTCTACAGAGTGTACTTTTAACTTTAAGTAGCTTGACTTTTTCACCAAAGGATTTTTGATGAAATACCATGAATGCTTCAAACTGAAAATCTCTTTAGAAAATTAAAAATGTGCCGAGGACAGTTGTCTATCTGTTACAATATGTGTTCCAGTAATGGCTGAGCAATCAGTCCATTTAATTAGTATTTCATCATTTTTAGCCCTGTTAATATATTGGCTTTCAAAGGACATCTTTTAAATAGGTCTTCCCTTTCAGCATTGCAGATTACCCAGCATACCTTAAAAAAAAACCACTACGTGATGTCTATAGTAATGAAATATTACTATAGCAAATACAACTGGAAGGATGGCTGGATAAAAGTGAAGAAAATATATTAGAATTACATATAAACAAGATACAGTTCTGGTTTAAGTCAGTGGCAGTTTTGCAAGCATATCATTGTAGTATTTTGTGATGGTTCTATTAACTACACTATTATAGCTATTAGCTATGGTCTTCAATACAGTTTTATTCATTCCATAATTCTAATCTATTAATTTTTGAGGAAGTATTTTAGGGATTTATTCACCAATTAAAATGGCTACATGTGCTTTCAAATCAGAATTTATGCTTGAAGTCTCTTCTCAATTTATGGCATATGTGGAGTTCTAGTTCACATGGATCTATTCCAAAATATAATCTAGACCATTTGGAATTCATACCTAACCTGAAATTGATATGGATCAATCCTAGGATTGCCAGACTCCCTGAATGTACTGCACATATATAAACATATGCATGTGGTAAGCATTCCACTGGCTGAATGCAGCTGTTAAAAATTGTATACACTATGTGCATAGAGAGGACCAGGACCACATCTGCTTGTCTATGTCCAATAGCTGCGTACCGACTAGAAACCAGATGTCTACAAATACAGTATTAGGATTCCCAAGCACTAGAAGATCCCATAGGGGTATACTCAGACATTTTGTAGGATTCACTGTAGATATTTGATCAAAGCCAGTGAGCATGATCCCACACTCCTCTCTATACAATCAGTGTACATGCTTTTGAAGGAATGCACAGGGCTACAGACAGGGGGCTAGTGTACTGGCCAAAGACTATGATTATAGTAGGGTCTCAGTCAGAACTCCAGTCTTGCTGCATAACAATAATGAAATCAGTTTACACCAGAGATAAGAGGCCTTCAGGAACAAAAGGGATGCATTTCAGTTCATATTTCTGGGTAAACAGTCATCTGACTTATTTCCAAACTGTGAACCAAATAGGGCTAAGCTAAACCATATATATATTTAAAAAGTACAAATATTTATTAAGGTGTACACATGTTAAAACTTTCCTGATTTAAAATTGCTTTGTCTAAGATCAGACTGTGAAAGCTTGTCCACTATACATACAAATGATGGGTAAAAACTTTCCTACTAAAGACCAAACGCTTTTCGGCCCCTAAGGGCCTTCCTCAGTGGTCACTATTATCTATATATTCTAGACACACATTCAAAGACCTGTTACAGAATTCTAGTACACATATAATTACACCAGATGTTGTTTCCTTGTCTACTTATAATTGGACTCCTGGTATTAGTGATGGGCCATAGGTATAGCCATATCACCTCCACAACTTATTCTGGTAACAGCGATTTTGTAGGTCTGAATGTGCGTCCCTCCATTTCACTTTGATGGAGGGACGCACATTCAGACCTACAAAATCACTGATTTGATGAGATTGGCCTTGCCTGGGGTATTCTGGCTATTCTTGATAGGCATTCCTAAAAAGTCAAGATTGTTACCAATCATCCAGCACAAGACAACATTCCTCCCCACCAAAGACAAACAAATTACCTTACCCAGCAGCTTTTGATGGAAGGCACTGAGATCCACCTTAGGAGGCCTTGGTGGTTTCTTTGGAGGAGGACCAAGTGACACAATGGAAGGAAGCAGTTTGTTTCTTGGAGCCTTGACCTCTCTGAGACAATGCGGTTTTTCTGTGCCAGAGTGAAGAGAAAATCTTAATGCTTTGCAAAAATAAATGAAGTAACTTTCATAGTGATACACTGTAAGTGAAGTAGTTCAAACTGAGGACTGGAAGGTAGCTAATGTCATTCCCATCTTTAAAAAGGGTTACAGAGGAGATCCGGGAAATTACAGGTCAGTCAGTCTGACGTCGATACCGGGTAAATTGGTGGAAACTGTTATTAAGGAAAGAATTAATAAGCACACTGATGAACAAAAACTATTGAGGCAGACTCAGCATGGGTTTTGTAAGGGAAGATCTTGTCTCACTAACCTGTTAGTGTTCTTTGAGGGAGTGAACAAAGATGTGGACAAGGGGGACCCAATAAATGTTGTTTACCTTGACTTCCAGAAAGCTTTTGATAAAGTTCTTCATCAAAGGCTCCTAAGTAACCTCAAAAATCACAGGATAAAAGGACAAGTCCTTTTGTGAATCAAAAACTTGCTAATTAATACGTAACAGAGAGTGAGTATAAATGGGCAATTTTCTCAGTGGAGGGTGGTAAGCAGTGGGGTACCACAGGGATCAGTACTTGGTCCGATGCTTTTTAACTTGTTCATTAATGATTTGGAGTTGGGAGTAAGCAGTGAAGTAGCTAAATTTGCGGATGATACAAAGTTGTTCAGGGTGGTGAAAACCAGGGAGGATTGTGAGGCACTCCAAAGGGATCTTTTGCGGATGGGCGAGTGGGTGTCAACAT